AGCAAGCTTGTGCGGCCTCGTCGCTTATGTTCCTGCACGCCCCGTAGAAGAGTCGACGCTTATGCGGTATTCTATGCTAAGGGTATGACACTTAGCATCAGTCACGGCTATGCGCACCTCCCCTTAATTAGCACAAATACCCCAGTTTTAAGGCGATATTATTATTTTGGATTTTAGCCGTTTTATTTATTTTAATTAATCTTTTATTTTAATTAAAATTTTTGTGGCTAGGCCTTGGTTTTAATGAGCGGCATTTGCAAAAAAAAATTATTTTGGCAAATAACTTGGTTTTACCGGCATAATTAATTAGATTAATTAAGATGGATACGGAATTTTGTGGGAGCTTCAAATATTAATTGCGCATATTTACAAAATCGGTTAAAACAACTTTGACTAGTTTTAATTAGGCGTGTTAATTGAATTAACCACCTAGATTAATTACTAGTTATCGCGTGTTTATGCATTATTACTTGTTTTTGTTGTAAAATGCATGGGCCATTAACAAATAGTGAATGGATGAATGGAATGTATATTCTCTCACAGGTTTTATAAAATGGCAACTAGTGGGTCCCGATTAGGATAGAAAATATGGACTACGATCCCTGATGTATTTTTGTAAATCTAAATACAGTCTGCGTACCATTGAGTATTTTTGTACCTTTATATTTAGATTATTCCTAATCGTAGATACTAGTTGTTGCATAATTTTGGTCAAGTCTTGAAGATGGAGGTTCTTTAAAGATAAAGCCATGAAGTTGCAAAAGAAGACCTTTTGAAGACTTCAAGAATTCAAGGGGTCATGCTTGTTGCCAATATGTATCAAAATGCTTATGCTTTACATATTTATGATCAATAATATATGAATTATATGTTAGATGCATGTTTAGGATTTTTAAATTTTTTGATGATTAATTAATTTCACTTAAATCAACCAACACAGAAGCCCTAGGTCCCTAAATATTAAGTAAAATTGCCATTCCAAAACAACACTTATCGACCTATTGAGAGTAGTGATGGGCTACGCCAAAGCGAGGCATCACTACTACTCCCTAGACTCATAAGGCATACCGGGTATGCAAGTTGGTATTGGTTGTACTCAACGATATGAGTGATGGAGTCCTAAAATGTTGTGGCAATGTGGATAAATTGTTGAGAGAGCATTAGATGCGACGATTTATTCAACCAAGAGTGGCTTGGAGCCATTAGCATAGCGTTGCTTTCCTTGGGAGATTGAGTCTAAGACAAGCCAAAGCATGCTTAGCCACTCTTTGTTTCCTTGGATCTTGGAATCGACTTATTTTCAATAAAAGGGGACAAATTTTAAGTGTGAATAAGACGATAAATAAGTTTGAAATATACATGAATTAAACTTCAATTTTATTTAAGTATTATGAATGGTTTTTCATTAGAAAAATTATTTCAATTGTAGAATCATGTCTTCAACTATCGACAACAATATAATATTCCCAGATCTTCTCGAGAAGTTACCATTTAGCTTTAATTTGGTAAACTTCAAGGAATGGGAGGAATAACTCCGTTTGACCCTCCGCAATTGCTACCTAGAGCATATCTTGGATACACCCATCACGAGTTTCTACTTAAAAGGGTTTATGAGCGATGAGGTTCATGAGGAGTGGAGTTATGATTACAAGAGAGTCTCTCAACTCATGGAAAACTCCATTCCGAAACAGTGGAAGAAGAAATTCTCCAACTACCTTCCGGATGTACTCCTCAAGGCTCTAGAAGATGTGGTCAATCTGAGGGTCACAAAGAGAGACATGGGCAACTATTGATGGACTTGTGGAATAAGTGACTAGGTCATTATCTAACATGAGGATCAAGCCACCGCAAGATGGGTGTCTCAGCAAAGAGAGGCAAGAAGTATGGGCTAGGGTCTAAAGTGCAAGACTTAGACCTAGGATGCCACTTCAAGCCCATGTGCAAAAGATGACAAGGTTATTTAACCGTCTGGAACTGATTGGTATACCGGTGGAGGATGAGAAAGCGGCTCATATGCTTTTAATCTCACTCCACTCGGGGTACGTTGCAATCAAGATACGATTTACCAACAATCAGAACAATCCGTCCTATAAGGAAGTTGTCCAAGAGCTCCAAAAAATCTATTCTTCCAAGGCGGCTAATTTGCTCTAAGGCCCAAGAAGAAGGAGTTCAAGAACAAGGCTAAGATGGAATCCTTCTATTGTAGTCAGAAAGGTCACTACAAAAGAGAATGTAGCGAGTATTTGGAAGATGAGACAAGAGGAAAAGAAGCCTCAATCTCAAGTAACATCTTGACACTTGAACACAAGCAATTTATAAGGTATTAGATATCAGAAAATTGACTCACTTTATGCTCCTATTTCAGGAACAAAGTGAGCACCGCTTTTCAAGTTGACATGAGTACAAAAGTGGGAGATGAAGATAATCTATCCAAAGAAAGCTTGTAATCTCATGTGTTTTGTCTAAATTCTAAAACTTGTTGAGTTTTATCTACCATACTTTGATCTTGTGACATTGGACGTCATTTTAACCTTAATCGCAAGACTTTTGTTTCATGTCCTGTTTATAATTATGAAAATGGCACTTTTGTGTGTTTTGACAAAATTGTTTATTATGATACCAAAAGAGTTAAGACAATGGATTCAAATCAAACTTACTTGCGGCATTGTCGTCTTGACCACATTAACATCAAACGCATCAAGAAGCTTCTTCAAGAAGGCGTTCTTGACTCTTTAGATTTAGAATATTTTTAGAATTGCAAAGGATGTTTATTAGGCAAGATGATAAAGCATCAATTCTCCAAGTTGGGAGAAAGAGAAAGTGACTTATTAGGTCTAATACATACCGATGTATGTGGACCAATGAGCTCCCCCAATGTCGTACAAAAGAGTTAAGACCACTTCACAGACGACTATAGTAGATATGGCTATTTCTACATAATGTCACATAAATCTGAATCGTTGGAGTGCTTAAATGCATGTTCTATCCAATATATTTCATGAACCAAGCCTATTTCTAGCTCATTTCCCTAAACCATAACCTATTTTTCACTTTTCGTATGCACATCACAAAACCGAGCTAAACTGGTTTTAGAAAAGGTTAAAATAAAAGCAGAAAAAGAAAACATTTTGCAACAAAAAGCAAGATCCGAAAGAGTAGAGGCTTTGGAGAAACTTGTCCTTCGAGCTAACTCAGGAAATAAGTACTTCAATTATGAGCTTGCAGCACAACCTAAAGGCAAGACTCTCCCAGAAAAGTTCTTGACTACTGCAGGGAATATTTGAGTAAAACACAAATACAATCCCTAAACTTTTGTATTTGTGCACTTTTGGTCCCTCAACTTTTGTATGTGCATTTTTGGTCCCTCAACCACCATATTTGGTGATTCTGACCAAAAGTTTAGGGACATTGCTTAGTCAGCAAAAGTTTAGGGACCATGAGTCAGCAAAAGTAAGCATTTAGCAGCCAAAAACTTCAGGGACGATGACTAAGCAAAAAGTTTAGGGATTGCCACCAGTAATGCAACAACAATTACACATCAAATGTGCACGAATGTTTGCACTATTAAAAAACTAGCCGTTAACAATTCAAAACAACTTTATAAATTACAGAATATCTCCAAAAAATTGATGTTCATCTTTAAAAAAATCTGGCTTCTCAAATAAATTGCTTCCACTGCATCAGGAACTCCAGTCAAGGTATCTACAAAATATAAATGTAAATTTGAAATTTCTGTTCATTGATGAAATAATTTAAATTTTTTTTTTGTTTTTGTAGGATGTATTCTTATAGTAAAGGTTCTAGTGGTAATGGAAGGAGGTGTCACTGTGGCTTACCTCTAACAAGAACAAGGTCCTTGACTAAAGATAATCCAGGCAGGAGATTTGTAGCATGCCCAGACTATGATGCTGAGACCAACAGAAGAGGCTGCAAGTATTTTAATTGGGTTGATGATGAAGATCAGACAGAATGGCAGAGGTAGGTCATCTTAGGGCTACTTGAAGACAAAAAGATGTTGTGTAATGAAGTGCAAGAGCTGAAGAAGAGGGTTACTGAAGCAAACACAGTTGCAAGAAAGTTGAAGTCAGATTGTGTTATGTTGAAAATGAAAAAATCAAGGGTTTCAATATGTTTTAAGTGTGAATTGTGCGTTATTTTTGCACTTGCTACATGTGTACTTGCTTGGTTTGTTAATAGGAAGTAGGCTATCTAAATGTAATTGTTTTACTAATGACTGTTATTATTATGAAATTATAAATAAAAAGAAATGAGGTTACCTCCTTTGCTCTTGTTTCTATTTTGAACTTGCTTTGTCCTAGCTAAGTTCTGCAGTGACTGTGTTGTTATTGTTTGTGATGATTGAGATGGTGCTTCTGGTTGTGTTTGTGACATAGTATATTCCTGAGAGAAGGAATATATGGTCTGCTCCCCTGCATAATCAGAGTAAAATGCAGCTCCTCTTCTAAAAGTTGTTGGATTTGGTTGATTAATTGGCTAAAACAAGTGACATGAAAAGTAATTTATTAGAGTAATATAATGCATAAACAGAAACCAACTTAAGGCAATAAAAAAAAACTTACAGTTGCTTGTCTTTGATAACCATTAGGATAGGTGTATACACCCACACCTCTGTTGTGCATTGGGACTGTAGGAGTAGCTTCAGTTGTGTGGGAAGAAGCTGTGTTATTACCATTGAAGCTAGCCCTTTGTGCATTTCTACATGTTGCTTTGTTGTGTTCTGGAACCCCCCACAAGCTGCATGTTATTTTGCCTCCTTTATTCCTTAGCTTCCCAGACTCAGTAACTTCACCAGCAAAGGCCCTTCTCTTTTACTTAGGTCTGTTGTGCACCTTTTTCAGCTCTGGAGCAATCATAATGTTCTCTGAAGTAGGACATTCTTGTGGACCATTTAGAGGCTCAAGTAGGTGATCATAAGCCTTGGCATATGTGTGCTTTTTGAAAAAATCATTCACATATTTCTCTAGTTGGTCCACTTTGTTCTAAATGGCCACTACAGCATGTTGGCATGGTATCCCACTAACTTGCCATGCATTACAGGAGCATGTTCTGTCTGATAGATTAACAATATACTTAGTTTGAGTTGCCCCCTTCTTCACTCCACAGCAAAAACCTCCATCCCAGAATGCATTCCAACCCCTTGCCCATATCTTATGCTTCTCAAGTTGTTGTTGGATTCTAGGACATAAACTGAGATCCCTTTCCTTGATCATGTCCCTTTTCTTGTGTAATCTGTCCATTAAGCTCTCTCTAATGTCTTCTAACATGCTGATGATAGGCTTATGTCTCCATTTCAGTATCTATGCATTAAAAACTTCACTCATATTGTTGTCTACACTGTCACAACAAGACATAGGTGTGTAGAATGCCCTACACCATTTCTTATAATTTCTTTTCAACAAATCTCAGCAGCATCATTTGAGAGGTCCCTCATTACTTGTAATTTAGCCAGAAAATCATTCTTAGTTGTGGACCTTGCAATTATCCAAAATTGCTTCCTAAACTCCAAGCTACCACCAAACACACCCCTAAAGTTGCAATACACATGTCTTGCACATACCCTGCTCTCAGCCTGTGGAAAAACCTCTACAATTGCAGCAAGAAAGCCCTTTCGTTGATCTGACATAAATGTATAGCCTGCCCCTTCTTCTGTTCCCAAATCAGCAGTAAGTAGGTGTAAGAACCAACTCCAAGTTTTAGTGCTTTCAACACCTACTACAGCCCATGCTAAGGGGAACATTTGGTTGTTCCCATCCCTACCTACTGCAACCAATAATTACCCCCTGTAAGGACCCTTCAAAAAGCACCCATCAAGTGATATAAAAGGCCTGGATCCACCTAAAAATCCTTTCCTCAAAGCCTCAAAACAAATGTATATCCTGTCAAAAACAGTCCCATTTAACTTCAGCTTCACTGTATTCCTCCTATTGCTTCTTAAAATCTCAGCTGCATACCTAGGTAGCAATCCATATTGCTCCTTTTACTCACCCACAATAAGAGATTGCCCTCTTCTCCTAGCCCTATGAGCCAAGTACTTACTGATCCTAATGCCCCAATCTAACCATACAGTCTACATGAGATCATGTAACCTCATGTAAGGGTTGACTTTGAACTGTGTGTTATACTGCTTTGCAATCCAAGAGGCTGACATTTTCTTTACCTCAGAGGATCTTCCACAAGTATGTTCACCAACATAAGATTTGACACAAAACTTTGTTTTATTTTTATCCCAAGAGGCCCAAATTCTCCATGGACATCCTTTGTCCTTGTGCTCACAAAGTGCCCCTACCCTCATTTTATCATTCTTATGAAAAGGTATGTTTCTGCCTTGTTCAATGGAATGATTGCTGATGGCCTGTTTAAAAGTGGATGGGTTGTCAAATTTCTGGCCATGATAAAAGACTTAGGATTGGGGTTTTTCACTTTCCAAGATCTTAACACTTGACTTAACATATTTATTGGAAGGTGGAGCAACTAAAAAACCACAGTCACTGTCATCATTATCTTCATCAGGGCTATCTAGCTCATCAAACCCTTCAAAGTCACTCCCAATTTCTCCCAAACCCTTAAATGCAGCTACCTTTCTCAACATCTCCAACTCATCCTCATAAGAAACCACATTTTTTTTGTCATTGGCTATTTCACACCTTGCTTGCACACACTCCTCATCATCCACATCAGTCCCTTCAGTGTCATAAATTATATCAGCTTGGTCATGCCTAGGAATATTCTCCTATTCATGCAAATTCACTCCTTCACTTGACCTCTCAGCATGCTCATCATCTTCCCCAATGTATGTTGTTAACAAACTCATAAAACTACCCCTTCTCCCTAAATTATGAAATAAAGGATTGATATGTTCCTGATGCTCTGTATATATGTGAATGACCTTGTATTGTAGAAGTAAACTCAAGAAAGGATCACATATATTTTTGTCAAAACCTAGGTACCTAATCCCTGAGTTAAAATCTTTCCTAGGATCTAAGAAATGGACCTTAACAATATCATCATATCCTAGACCATCTAATAACTTCTTGACATAATCAACATCCACAGTTGCAGGTATATCCTCAAACACATTTATTTTTCCCCCCAAGTAAAATCATTCACATCCAATTTGCCACTGACCACCATGATGTATAATCAAGCAAGATTTTCATTCCATAATCTGACAAAAGAATGGACAGCTTTTAGCAATGGCAATTCAACTAAGTACGCAACTTTCTTTAGTACCATGCGATCACACACATGAACATGAATGTCATCAATTAAACCAAACATACAATTAAAGCTAAATGCAAAATAGATTAAGGTTTAAGTGAACAAAATAAAAGCATTCATTTTCATTAATATAATCATCATAATTGTCATTACAAAATATCCTACATTAGGCTTCATTGAATTACATACAACTGCATCATCCTAGATCACTAAATGAAGCCTAATCTGATTAAGTTAGATCATACAATGTCATAGCAGTGACATACCCAAAAAAAACCATCATGAATGTCACATTCAACCTACATACATACATTAAGCTATGACAATGTCAAAAGACTACCTAAACCATATATTAACAGCACAAAAACCAGCTGATACCATAAGCAAAAAACTACCCACCCTACCACCCCACCACCCCACCTACCACCCCACCTACAACCTTCTAATCCTCCTTGAATAGAAGTGGAAAGCCATCGAAGTACACTGTCATGTCCTTCTCAATAACGCAAAGAAGTCCCTCCCAAAGTTGTAGAGAATGTCATTCGGAACCCAATCCCTGAACTCATTCCTATGGTGAATGCGGTATGGGAGGTAAGGTGCAATGTGCCTTAGGGTCCACCATAGCCGCCACTTCCAGCATACCCTCTCAACACTGATCTGGTCCACCCAATGGAGTTTGGGGAACACATGCAGCACAAGAACATCCTGGGTTTCCATCAGTGGGTGAGCATCTTCCAAAGCCTCCATACCTAGGTTATTAGGTGAACACGTCTATTAGATTGGCCGTTTTATGTGATCACATTAAAAATAGAGCATACAAAACCCTAATCTTTACTGTAAAACCCTAACTGAACAAAAATCACACAAAACAACAACTAATTTCATGCGATTGCAGAGAATAACAAAGTGAAGCATAATTTAAGTAGATCAACACAAAAAAATTCAAAATTTTCATCATTTTCATCAAACCCTCACTCGCTTACGAACACCCAAACAGGGTATGTTTCATATTACAAAAAGAAATTGAAATAGGGGATGAACTAACCTCTAGCTGATGTCAAAGACTCGAGTTTTGCTTTCTTATGCGACGATGATTCTCCAAATTTCCACCCAGACATACCAATGGAGCTCGTATTTTTTACTACTATTTGAGATGAAGATGAATGACCCTTCACCTCTTCTAGAATATATACAGAAGCTTTATCCCGCCAAAGGATGAATTTGAATTGGGAATAGAAATCAAAACGCTGAATTTTGATTAACAGGAATTCAATTGGGCCACGTGGCTTCTTTAAGTCCCTTAACTTTTCTTCATCATGACTACTACCATCTCACAATTAAATAATATTTTTAACAAAAATATCTGGAAAAAAAGGAAAAAAAAAATTTGCTGACTCATGGTCCCTAAAGTTTTGCTGACTAAGCAAGGTCCCTAAAATTTTGGTCAGAATCACCAAATATGGTGGTTGAGGGACCAAAAATGCACATACAAAAGTTGAGGGACCAAAAGTGCACAAATACAAAAGTTTAGGGACTGTATTTGTGCTTTACTCGGGAATATTTCAAGCATTATCTCTAGCTTGAACCCCACTGTGATCATACACTAAAGTACGGTGGCGTCCAAAGGGAAGGAAGATAGAGCAAAAGAGTCTCCAACAAGTTTTAGGAACTTGTAAACCGTTCACAGGGTGAAGTTTACACTCCTTAACAATCCAGGAGATCGTTAACTCCAATAGGTCTAGAACCATGACAGGCAGTTCGGGGATGAAGGTACAAATCTAACCTAAAAGAGATTGAACCTGCCCTAATAATAGGCCTCTACTTTATTCTGATCGTATTCATGTGCGCTTTGTTACTAACATGCGATCATTAGGATTAACCCTAAACCTGATGGCGATCACTTGAATTATAATCAAATTAACCCTAAAAAGATTATTAATTATCTTATTCAGCGTGATTACAAGTATAAATTTTCTTTAAACATGCATAAAAGGCGTGGTCAAGCAATAAATAATAATAAGTATCAAGCAACATGATATTAACAAATTATAAATAAGTTATCCATCAATTAACAAATAACATGAAATAATTTCGTAATTTAACAAATTACATGAAATAATTCGCTAATTAACAAATTACGTGAAATAATTCGCTAATTAACAAATTACGTGAAACAATTCGCTAATTAACAAATTATGTGAAATTATATAATTCGACACAATAATATTCATAATCATAATATCATAACCATGTTAAATCATAATATTAATAGCAAGATCTTAAGCATGATACTAACAAGATTAATAACAAACCCTAATTTGTCACTAAACAATAAAAATCAAAGCTTTGGCCCTAACATGAATATTAACAAAGAAAATAAGAAGCATCGCAGGAAACATAATTGTCACTTTAAATATTAGAAATTATAGTTGTTACCCTAAACATGATACTAGTAATCATTGTTGTCATTAAAAACATCAAGCATCCTAACATGATACTAGAAATCAAAATAGGAACCTAGACATGATTTCTATGTCATAATAGCAATGCAAACAATTAAAGCACTTACTTGGATGTCTCATATCTCTTTTTAATAACAAAATACACACGTTGGTAAATTCAAAGAAAAATAATAAATCAAACAATTAAATTAAATAATTTAAAGAGAGATTTGGGACCAAACCCTCAGAAATTAAAACCTTTCTCTTCTAGGGCGAAGGCAACTTCGAACTTGGCTAGGTGTGTCTAGATCTTGTGAATGCAGAATTTTGTTTGTAAAAAGGCTAGTTTAGAAAAGAGAGAGAGAGAGATTAATCAAGAGATTCTTGATGAGAATTGGTGGAAATTGATTATTGTTGAGAATTGATGATTGAAAATGGAGGTTTTAGGAGGCTATTTATAGAGAAAATCAGTCGGATGTGATAAAAAAACGAATCAGAGTTTCGAAAAGAATAAAACTCGATCACAGTGTCAAACACGCAAGGGGCGCCAAACGCAGGACTCGAGCGCCAGACGCCAGGAGTGGCGCAAAACGCTAGACTTTGGCGCCAGACGCTGGAAAATAGTTTTTACGAATTTTGTTTTTATCATATCTTTTGATCTAGAAGTCCAAATAAGTCATATAATATGTATTGGGAAGATCTTGAAGTATTCTTTCCAACCCTATTAGATTAAGATTAAAATCTTTTGTAGATAAATAGATATTGCCGAAATAGTAGAAGGGTGTCGTTTTTGGATAGAGTTTCATATCTCATTCATATGTTTTTTGTTATAACTCGGATATAATATTATAATGTATCATTGGAAAGATAATTTCAAGATCTATCCAACCAGATTTTGAGGCACGAAAATAAAATCTTAATATATTCACTTTTGTACAAAAAAAGGATTCTAAAAAGGAGTAGTTTTATTCAATGTCAAACTCTTTGAAACATAATTATCAATCCTAACTCCATTACGATTTAAGAGAATCTTCTAGAATATTCTAGAAGACTATAATCAATCCTAATAGCTTTAGGAATGATAATTAATAATAGGCCCTTCTCTAGATCATTGGGCAGCATATAAAAAAACCAAATCGGTCCAGTTTAGTATTTTGGCCATAACTCCCTCATTATTCATCAGAATTGGGCTTATAATATATCGTTGGAAAGGTATTTTCATGCCCCATAAAACTACACTATTATTGGATCCTTATCATAGACCAAACTAAATTGGAATGCACGTTTTTGATAAATAAGGTAAGAAAAGAAATATTTTCAAAAACAGACTAAAGAGATATTTTAATCAAAACATCCTCATCACTAGACTTTTCACACTTTCACTTTGTTCGATAATCAAATAACGTGAAAGGTATTCATCACTAGGTTTGGTTTTGGGGAGACACAAATGGGTGTCTACAACTACGGATTTGCCAACCTTTAAGGTTACAGTCCTAGGACTCACTTAATGAGCTTTATTGGAATTATGGTATTTAAAGGGGTTGAGCCAAGCCTATATGCATGTACTTTTCCTCTTTCATTGGACCCAAATGCTAGATCATGGTTTTATAACCTCGATGCAAAACAAACTTCC